CTATTCATATTGTTATTTCATACCATAAGCGAGAAGAAATTATTTTAATTTTTAAATTGCGATCATTGCGGGTGTAATTGTATGCACCTTTTGCTTATTAATTCTCTATGTAATATTTATTTTCAAATCCGACTTGCGTTTTAGTTTGTTAGTCTTCCATTTTTATTATCTTTTTGTGTACTGATGATGGTCAAATCTTGACCGAAACGTCTACTTATTTATTTGGAATTTTAAATGTATGACTTGTTTGACATCTTGCTGTGGCTGTATGCTCTTTATTATTTATCATATGTAAAAATATTTTCATGTTTCTCTGTAGGCTAACGGTTCAGAAAGATGGCCCTAATAAGGGACGACATTTTTATGGATGTCCCAAGGGTGTAAACTCCACTTGTAATTTTTTCAAATGGGCAGATGAAGATGACACCAACGATAGTCACACGGATTGGAGCAATTCCACTGCAAGAGGAATAGGAAATAAAGCACGTAGCAAATTTTCACAAAAAGGCAATGTCCCCAAAAGACCTAAACTCACCGGAGGCAAGAGAAAGTGTGGAAATTGCGGATTGGAAGGTAATATTTAAAGAACTTTTTTAACGATGTTTTCTCTTTTTCTGTCTTTCTCTTAACTGTATTAAAAATAGATTTTATATTCTCAATTATATCTGTTATCATATCTAAATTATATATTTTTACATTATATATTATATATTTTTCATTTTATACTTTTTTACAGGTCATACGAGGAAGAAATGTCCGAATAACGCGATGGACTGACGAATGAATTTTTTTCAATACAGTATTGTAAATAATGTACAGTTTATAACGATTGGAATGGTAGAAAACTTAATTAGAATGAAGCAGTGTCAAATACAGCTTTATTTCTAAGACTTATCTACTGCTTTATAACTTTTACAATATATAATAGTATTAAGATAGGAAGTAGTTTGATAATCATTTAGTGTTATATTTTATATATATATAGTTTTTGTTCATATCCTAGTAAGCGGCGCAAATAATAATATTTAATAAATTAAATGACAATTCCTTTGTTATAAGAAAAATTGTTTTTTATTCTCTTTAATTCTTCTTTCTGTGAGTGAAGTGCGATTGTTGCGTTAATTATAAACAATTAACATCATTATTAACGATTACCATTATATGTTTCTATTAGCGTTCTGTTATAATATTGATAAACTTTTTCAAAATATATATTTTTTGTTTCTCAGAGATTAACTTTCTAATTTTTTGAAAGACGTAACATAAAAAATTATTGTATCTGAAAGTACATCAAACTTTAATTTTAACAGATTGTTGATTGGAAATTCCTTTTATTTTTGTTTTTGCACTAAAAATTCATTTTTACGTGAAAATAAAGATGAGAGGAACATCTCCAATGACCTCGATTTTAACAAATGTTATCTAAGGCATGATTCTAAACAACATTCAAGATATTTTAGCCGTCAATCGGACATCTTGGGTAATGCTAATACCAGCGGTACTGGAATTTTCAAGTCTGATAACTCAATAAGTACTGACTAAAAAAAGATTCTTAAAATGTTTTGAAAAGCTCACAAGGCTGTTAGATTCTGGATTAAATCAAAATCACATCGATTTTTTTAAACGAAACATCTTTGTAAAAAAATCGATGTGACTTTGATCTAATCTTGGTAACGCCACTTATGGTCAAACGCATATAATTAGTAAATAGATTTGTTTAAATCCTACAACTTTTATCTGAAACATTTTTCTTAAAAATGCTTTGTTTTCGAGATATTCAACCGCTTCTGGACTTCTTGAGGCCCATATCATATTTATGATATCGTATTTACTACTAAAATACTTTAAAAGACTCGATTGACTGCACTCAAGACACAAAGCATTTGTAGTGAGACTTTAAGTTTGTCTTGTGGTTTACCTAAGGCCTGTTTTTTTAGCTGAATACCATCTTGTATCATCTCTCCTTACACTTTCTTTATCTTTGAGGAAAGAAGAAAAAAGATGAATTGTGCAAGCTAAAAAGAAGGAAATCACTAATGTAAAAAGCAAGATAGGAATATCTATTGCAACCAGAAGAAAAAAGATGAATTGTGCAAGCTAAAAGGAAGGAAATCACTATTATAAAAAGCAAGATAGGGATATCTATTGCAACCAAGGACATTTTCTTGACTGTACTGGTCGATAAGATAATAGGAATGCAGTTGTATCAAATAAATCATTATTGCAAGTGTATATATTGCAAGAATCTAAAATATTTGATAGTTTGTGATGAAATCGGTTCTTGTATTCATATTTAACAAATATTTTGCGAAAGCCATTAAAAAAGGAGGATGGATGTGAAAGAGCAAAGTAAAGAAATATGTGACGTGATGAACGCTTTTGAAAATGTGCAACGGGAAATAAAGACAGAGATGGAGAAATTAAAAAATCAACTGAGATGTATGGAAAAAGATTGGACAGAAAACAAAAATAAATTAAAAGAAAGAATAAAAGAATTAGAAGTAACATACGAAAAATATAATAAGATTAAAGACGAGATAAGACAAATGGAGATGAATAGTGAAAGAGAAGATGTGGAATGTGTAAAGGATATGGGAATTGAGATGATGAAAGAGTGGCTTGAGAAATTCGAGGAAGATGAGAAAGGTATAATGCAAGAGGAGAGAAAGAAAAATAATACGAAGAACGCATTGATCTTCCCTACTACTCCAAATACATCTCAATTGCAAAGTACAGCTACTTCTATTAATACAGACTTTGGTCGAAATAACAACGATTGTAACTTGATAGAAATTCCTAGCACTTCATCGGGAAGACGTGCGCAAAACAAGAACACTTTTCGGTTAAATGAATCAAATAGATCAAATACTGCTAATGGCAATACAGTATCAAAGGATAGAACAAATCATACTTCCTCGATTAATTTCGATGTTTTGAACAATTTTGCGAACAAATCAGATCACTCTGCGTCCAATAATTCTCGCAATGCTAACATTATATGTAATTGTAAAAAACCTGCTATTCCAAGACTTCTAAAATTTGGATTAAATAAAAGTAAGTGGCAATCATATATAAATATAATTTGTCACGTAAGTTACTTTAGATAATATTTGTAATTCCAGAACGTCTATTTTACACATGCAGTGAAAACGTTTGCAACTTTTTGAAATGGGCAAATGAGGATAGTGCAAAATTTCAAGATAATGCAGGGAAAAAACGTTCAATGGTATCGAGACCGGACAAAAACAGCGATAGTAACTTTTCTCGCCCTAGCACTTCTAAAGACAATTGGGATAACCCATCCACGAATGTTATGTGTAACTGTAATCAGCCCGCTCAAAAGTGAGTAAAATCTCCGATCCGAAAGAACGGCAAAACTTTTTACGATTAACAACACATGACGTCAATAATTAATTAATTAATTGAAGTCTTAATGTCACCAATTAGCAGCTTTATTATGTATCTAATACAAAAATAATTTTGCGAGTTTTTTTTAGGATGACCGTTTACAGAGATAGCCCTAAAAAGGGACGACTATTTTATAGATGTCCCAACGGTCCAACTTCCACTTGTAATTTTTTCAAGTGGGCAGATAAGAATGATAACGGAATTCCTGAAAAACCAAACGCCAAAAAGCCCAAACTTATCGGGGGCGGGAGAAAATGCGGATTTTGCGGAGTAGAAGGTAATGAAGAAAAAGAAAGTTTAAAGAATTCATCTTTTTGTTATCTTTTCTTTTCTCTAGAGTCCGACCAAAACTTTTACCAAGACTAAAAACGAATACTCATTACGTGTTAGTTTCGACTGAAATCATATAGCTCTTCTTTATAAATATTAATATGCGTTGTTTCAATAATTAAATTATAATGTTTATGAAGAAAAAGTACTTATATTCTTTGGTCAAAATTGACACATAACCGAAATTTCGGTTTTTTATTTCGACCGAAATTTAATTATTGTTTCAATAAATTATGATATTTATAAAGAAAAAATATATAATAATGATATAAGAGCATGTCTATACATATGGCCTTTATAGGATTTCTATTTTTTAATTTTGGTTTCGGTTTCAGTTGAAATTGACATGTAGTGTTTTGGTTTAAGTTTCGGCAAAAGTTTCGGTTGGATTCTATTTTTCTCTTTTTATTTCTTTTATTAATTTTTTTTAAATAACATTTTTATTATTCTCAATTACATCTATTATCATATTCAAATTGTACATATTATATTTTACATTTTGCGTTATATTCTTTCACAGGTCACACGAGAGACAAATGTCCAAATGTAATCAGTCACTCACGTTATCTCTCCCTTTTGAGTTATATTGATGAATTTTTTCGAAAACAGGAACGTAAATAATATACAGTTGTAACGATTAGCGTTATAAAAAGCTTAATTAGAATAGAGAAGTGTCAAACACAGTTTTTATCTGTAAGAGTTGATTTCTGCCTTGTAACTCTTTTACAAGTATTAAGATTGGAAAAAAGTTTGATAATCAATTATTGTTATTTTATAGTTCCCTTTATATTCTAGTTTTATAGTTTCTATTTATATTCTAACAAGCAAGTAACAATGGATCAAACGACAACTCGTCTGTTAAGAGAAAAATTTTTTAGTTTCTCTAATTCTTCCTTTTGTGAGTGAACTTCGGCAGTTGTTTGTGTTAACTGTAAAAAATTAACATAAAATGTAACAATTGATACTTATCATTATATGCTTTTATTAACTTATCATTCTGCTTTTATTCTTATTGATAAACTTTTTCTTTGTATACGTATATGTATATATACTTTATATATTCAGTATTATAATTTTATTATATATCTTGTATATTATATATTGTTTCAAAAATAAATTTATTATAATTTTTTAGAAGGTGCTATATAAGAAAAGATTACCATATCTAAGAGTACGTCAAACTTTAGTTTTAACAGATTATTCTCTTCCTCCAGTCGTCTCACTTCTTTTTTTAATTTTTCATTCTCTTTGAAAGTACCTCCCACCTTACCAGACTCTAGAGCAAAATTATTCATTTTTTTATTATTTGAGATAAAAGTGCAAAAGTTTTTGTTTGGTGAATGAATGTCACCTGGAATCCACAGACCAGCCTCAAAAATAGCTTCCTGATCTCCAAGGCGGAGGCGTATAGGACCCACTTCCGGGCCGAGTTCCTTCTCTATTCGTTTAGGGCTTAAATTTTTATTTGCCAGGAAAACGGACGCCTTCCTAGTTGGCGTCTTCTTGGGGGAAAACTTATTGAAGAATAAGGGCATCGCTAAATGATTTTTAAGACTAGCATGGACAAGCAGACAGTTTACCTAATCATTACAAAAAAGAATAATGGAATTTCGAACACGGTAATCACTGTCTTACGTTATAAATATTTTGTAACATTTTAAATAATATTTTTTATCTATCATTTATCTTTAAATTTCTTTTCACAGTTGAAACTGTTGCACAAAACGCGGAATGCGTCATGTTTGTTTATCCTGCCGTTGCCTTGGCAATCCTTTTGAATTTGAAATGGAAGGGCGGACTATCGCAGAATCGATTACTATCGACTATCGAAGGATCGATTGTCTTCGATTAATTTCTATGCTTTTTCTCAATGTTATTGGCTTTATTTACAAGAATCCCCCAGAATTCTGAAAGAATCAATTGTAGGTCTATTTAATTAATGATTGTAGTTTGGACTGTGTTTCGTTTCACGTATGATGCGCATGCTGCATTATTTATCACCTTGTTATTCACCGAATGTAAACAAGGATAAATGATGTATCATGCGCATTATGCGTGGAACGGAATGCAGCCTTGCTTTTACTTGTACTTTTTGCACTCAACATCTTTGCTTTCTCTTTCTTCAACATCTGAATATATATTTATCTAAAATTAATATTTCATTATAAAATTTGAAATATTTCAGAAATTTTTCGTGAATTATTTCTAGAATATAAATATGTCCAGGAAATTGTTAAAATATCTTTTTCTTACAATATTTGTACTCTAAAAGTATTTTATGTGTTCTAAAGTATTTTTGTAAAACATTTTAATGTAATAATTAAATATTTTACAGATTTTTCAAACATACCAAATATTTCAAAAAATAATTTATATAAATATTTCATGTTTTATTTGGCAGGCTTGTTCTTTTTAACTGAATTGTTTGCACGATTCATCTTTCCTCTTTTTCTTTTCAGTATGAATAGATAAAAGATAGACCGTACAAACACAACTAAAAAATTTAGTTAAAAAGAATAATCCTTTTGATTTGGATATTTAGTATCTTTTCCGCGTGAGGCCTCTCAGCTCGCACTACTTGGTATAGTTTTACTATACCAAATACAATTCCTGTACTTTATTAACCTCAGTTCCCTGTCATTATCCGTACTGTCGTTATTGTCATTTATCTGAAGAAATAACGGTCAAACAACGGAGTCGAGACGAAACGAGGCAGAATGCAAACGGGTGAACTGTCATGCTGCGTTTCTGCGACACAATGAGTAACGGGAAGTTGTGTAACGTTTTCGCGCGGTAGAAACATCCGTGTCTTATTCCCGTTCGCTTCAGTTCGCTCATCTCGTCGTCAGCACCGGTATCACCATGGCCTGGCTCGGCACGATCGCAAACAATGTTTTGCGGAACATCGTCTTCTCGGACACGCCGCCGAACGTCGTCCAGGAGGTGCGGCCGGACCAGTATAGCAATCGACATATACACTCCCGTGAGGATGGCATTGTTCTCTACGGCCCTGGCGGTAAGAATCAGGATAAATACGAGATTGTCCTGCATAGACCATGCACGGAGACCTTACATCAAGCATACAGGTATATCTTATTATTGATTTATCATTTTGGTGTGAAAGAATATTGTAATTAATAAGAATATTGTGTTATTTATTTTTCCCATGTACTACTGCTAAGAAAAGTGATTGAGTATTCATTGTCAGTTACCATTTTTCTTTTAAGTAATGAGATTATCTTTAACAAAGAATATTTTCTTGACAACAGTCTTAAAATATACTCATAAATTTTAGAAAAATGTATTGTATTCAAAATAAGAAATTTTCTTCTGAAGAATATGAATTTTATTGAAGTGATTTTATAATAAGTAAATCTTTGATTTATTTTTAATATCTTGATTGAAATATATAATTATTTATTAGGACTCTGAATATATTTTGAATAAATTTGATGTTTGTAATGGACTTGTGACAGACTTGTGGATATATGAACTTTTAAAAAAATTTGAAAAACAAGTAAATTATATTTAAGTATGTATTATTTTTCTATATATATATA